AAGCAGTTGTAATTCCCACTTGACGTGACATGGAGACACACACGTACTCACATGCTGCCCATGGAAACCCCAGGAGTGGGGTAGGATACACAGCCATTTTTGAGAGCAGTAAAACTTCGGCCCTCACTGGCACTGGAGCACCATGAAGCAAATTTGCACAGCACATCCAAAGCCATGGTGTGAGCCTGCAGACCTGCAACACGTGTGTTGGCTTTTGCCACCTTTCACAGTACCCTTGAGAGGAATTTGTCAAGGACTGCAAAGAGTGGGTTAAAGAGAATTACATTCATTTTAAAAAGGCACTGGGTTTACACACCGAGGGGAACAGAATGATAGTGATAATTTTTCACAATTTAGCCATTCACCAACAGGTGGCTGGAGAGGATGCAGTGTCTCTCCCAGAAATGGCTCCTGGGAGCTGCATGTCCCTCTCACGTGGGGCTTAAGGACCAAGGTGCAGCTCAGCTCTGTGCACACAAGCTACACGTTTATTGACTGACAACACCCCAGAGCAAGTCACTGCTTACAAATCAGCTCATGGCTTGAAACCGGCTTTAATTATCAGACTGTTTCCCCACATCAAAATGCTAAGCAAGAACATAGTGTCTCAGGACAGCCGCCAACAGGAAGGATCTTAAAAAAAAAAAAAGGCAGGGGGGAGACTACAATGCTTAAATAAGCCTAGAGAAGTTGAGCTGCAGCACAGTACTAAGCCAAGAGAGCACACTACTGGGCCTAGTGAGCTTTTTCTGCCTAATTTTAAACCTCCCTATAGAGCTAGTTATTTTGTACATATGTCAAATGAGGGGAGAAATGTGTTCAAGATTTTTTTTTTTAATACCACTGTATGATGCCAAATTAAAGGAGAGGCAAGTCAAGTTGAATTATTTTAGTTAAATTAAAAACATGCATTGCTGTCACACACTGAGCACAAGGCCTAGGGATGGCAGACAGCCGGAATTAAGCAGCCTTTTTCTGCATCGTTTTAAATGAGTGTGAAGCATTAATATCTGCAATACAGGATACCTGTGACTGTGGTTTTATTGTCTACTGTACCTCAATATCCAAATACCAAGTATCCAATTTAAGTAGCCTGACAAATGCTGTAAGGACTCCACGCTCCCACCTGCACAAGGCATCAAAAGAAACAACAGCAATTTACATCAGTTTTAAAACCTCATCAGTTAAGGCAACTCTGTCTCCAGTTCAGCACCTGAACAATTACTTGCTTGTTCACAGTGGTAGGAAGTTTTAAGCTCTGATCAGGAAACTATCAGAAAGAGATATTTAGTGCTATGTGTTACTTTCATTTTTGCTTCTGCTATTGCTTCCTCAGCACATGCACCTACCAAAGCCTCGTGGCCATCTTAGAGGGAGTAGCTAATGATGGCAGCTTGAGCATGCACAAATGAATTGACTTTATTGGGGAAGGAAGTGGTGGGTGTTGCTTTTACCAGTGCAGATACTTGAGATGTGCTCCAGTGAGACAGCTGAGGTGCCCTGGGACAACAGCAGGGTGCCAGTTCCAGCCAGCTGAAGGCTGGCTCAGACCCCAGGTGAGAACAACAAAGGAAGAGAAGAAAAGAAATCACACTGAAGTAATTAAGAATACATGTCCCCAAATGTCTTGCTGTATGTCTCCAACTCCCTCATTTAAACCTTGTAATTAGAGGTGAATGGAAGACAGTGAGGTGTATGTATAAACAAATTAAGGGGAAGGATCAAATGCACTGACTAATTAAAGATGGTCACTTCCAAGGCTGCAGTGGGTACTCTTACTTTCAGGTGAATTAAAAGCTAAGTAACACTTATTTCCCCCCCACATCCCCCAACAAAAAAAAAGTCTGGCATTGTGGGACAGTGGAGACTTACAGATATCTGACAACCTGCCTCCAAGTTTTGATATAGCTTGCCACAACACAGATAGTGCCTTGTTTATAATTTAATTTCCATCCTATTTCCCCTTCCATTGAACAGTACAAAACTGGTTGTGTCTGAGCCAGATAGGATGCAGTTAGGCAGAATCTGAAAATGATCCATCTGGGGATGATAAGGTATGGAACAGCTTTCAAATCTCTCCCCCTTCCCTCCTTCTTTCTTTCCCACAAAACTCAGCTCAGATTTCGTAAGTGCAGTGTGCTGAGGTTATCTGGCAACGGAAGGAAGTGCCAGAAGTTTGGACTCACTTGCCATGTGAGTATGTAAAGTCAGGCAGTGGGAACAGAGACACCCAACAGTCTATTTAAAACACCTCTTAGCACCTACACCCAATAACTGCTTCTAGCAAACATACACAACAAGCTCCCAAATTTCCCTAGCAGAAATTATTTGCTCCACCCATGATGTTCATTGCAGCAGTCAACACAACAGCACTTACCAATGGGGATTAAGTCAGCTTTCTTGGGGAATTACAGGGTTTGCTACCTTTATGTTTTGTAAATACCAACTAATGTGTTATGTAAGACACACAGTGTCTGTGCAGCCAGTATTTGCAAACACTGATGGTATTCCTAACTTCAATAGGAGCTGCTGAGTCCTAGCAGCAATTACATGCCAGGCAGGCCCCTTATTTAGCACCTTGTATCTTCACTTAGTTACCCAAACTGAACCATCAAGGAAAGAAAAGCAGATAAATCTGTTAGGCATCAATCCCAAGGTGGCAGCTGGGAGAAGACTCCCAGCTCCTCTAGTCTTTTACAGACGTTTCACCACATTCAGATGTAGTCTTTGACTGTTACACAAATCTGCTTTGTTGCTATAAGGTAGAACCTAATAATGACTTTCTTAATGTAGGGCATGTAGCCTGTAACCAGAGTTATTAGTTTTTCAAGTTAGAAGCATTGCAACATGACCTCATGTACATACATCCCAAGCCCACACCTCTTCTGTGTCGGCTGTGCCAATCTCCACGTGCTACAAAATTAGTCACACTAATTTGTGTAGAAAAAAGCTTGCATAACATAAACTAGCATTAAACAATAATATTAGCCAATTGACATCCTTTGACAAGTCCTGTCACTCTGCTCTAGCCTAGAAGGATGTGTACATAGCTCAGCATATGTATTTCCATCTCAAAAGACAGCACTCTGTGAAGTCCCAAAACAACTCTCTCCTTCCAAACACAGGGAGGGGTGGGTAGAAGGAATATCTTATCCATTCTTGTGGATTGCACAGTTCTTTAGGACAAGAGGAGTCAGTTTTTAACTGAATCCCATGCAGAAAGGAGGGGATGGGGGGGATTTGGTTTTGGTTCTGTTTTTCCAAAAAAGGCCCAAATTAAACTTCTGTGAAGGAACAGCATAATGCTTTTTCACATTTATGATCTGCTGTCTAAATGCTCATGCTCGGTACAGTTCGTGGAACCTTTTCTGTATCCTCTGCAGCAGCCCTGATGTGATGCAGGGTCCAGCCTGCAGGCAGGCACAGCTCCTACTGAAGTTCCCTGGGCACGAGGCAGAGCTGGGCCCAAAGTCTGCCAGTGTACCAAGGGGAAAAACCACAGATTAAAAACTACTTGACCTGCAAAGGAATTCTGTGCAGTAAATCTAAGCACAAGTGTCTGCTGACAGAGACCACGAGGGAAAAGGAGCATGAGCTGCACCAGGGAAGTACACACCGTTCCATTCAGAAAGACATTTTGAATTTGGGACCAGGCCATGGTATATCCAATACCCAAGTGGGATAGTCACTCCAGGGAAAGGAGTGCTAAAAATAGAGCTACAGATGCCAATACAGCATGGAGGCTGGGAGAGGATGGGACAGGACAAGCAACTCACAGGACACAGCCACCTCCTCCAGCTGAGGTTGACTCCTTTTTGTCTGCTCCAAGCAGGGACACTGGGACATGAATGTTCATGATATACTTGGGAGAAAGGAAGCCAACCTCTTGTAGATCTGGTGTGAATCCTAAGTGCAGACCCAACCTTGCCTTGAAGAGCTGGAGCTGCACTGCTGACTTTCAGGCACATTTGCTACCTCTTCAAACCACAGCAGGTACCACTTCTGTATATTGGTCTGTGGGCTTCCACAGACCTGACTGGCTGGGATTCAGCCAAGGATTCCCATCACATTATGTAAGACTCATTTCAGAGGCCAGCTTCTTAAAGTCCATTAGCTGCCTAAATACCTTTAAAAAAAACAAAAATCAAATTCCAGCTCACTTGCCCAGATGTAGCTAAGCAAGCTTAAAAAACCCCTCTTTTTCAAAATACCTACTTCAACTTAGTTTTTCTTCTCCAACTGGGAGAGCAGTCACCATCAGGCCTCTCTTCCCCTATATGCAGGCAATCAGCATCTGTCCAGAAAGTACCAGAAAGTCTGGCCCATGCATCTCTACTTTGTATAAGTCCAGCCCACTCTCTCTACCATGCTGGATGAGAACTGGCTAGGTCAATTAGCAGATGCTGAAAACATAAACCACCTTCTACATAGTCCATTACAGGCTGACACACAATGGATTTATGTTTGAAGAGAGGGATGAACAAATTTGAGTGGAAGAAAATGCATGCACTTGGTTTCTCACCCATCTGCTCCCTGCTGGCTGCTTGGCTGGCCAGGAAGCACACAGCTTTCTGGAGCCCAGACCCAGTCGCTCCACAGTCCAAAGCTGACTTCAGCAGGAAAAAGGACATAATAATTGAGTCCAAACTGTATTTTAGTCCCATATTTCATTGCAACATAGAAGCTTTGCCCAGAATGTAAGTATGTGTACATCTCTGATACCTGTTAATATAACTTCCTGAACAGATTAATTGTCAAGCTTCATCTGCTTAATACACTCCTCCTTTCCAAACCAGCAGTGTAGGTAGGGAGACACATTTGTTGGGAGTGCATCATCAGGTGAGCTGCTCTGTGCACTGAAAAGACAACAAACAGTTCAGTGCATAAGTATCCACAGTAGCTATTGCAGCAGGTACTGCATGACAAGTCACAGGTCCAGACACTTGCTGACTGCCCAGAGATGGGGTATAGTGAGGAAAGAGCAGCATTTCAGTGCAACGTTTTAAACCTTCCAATTTCTTTAATTCCACAGATCTGTCAGACTCAGAAACATGGGTCACTTCAGGAAAAACACAGGATTAAATCTCCAGTTCTGCAGATCCAATTCTTTATAGACTTTGATAAACAAACTGCGCAAAAAAAAAAAAAAAAGTTACAGAGATTTAAGAGGCAAATGCCTGGCAAGATGGGCTTTAAGCTGAAATACAGCCTTGCACTGGCTGAGGTAACACCAGTCACCTGCTCACTACATCTGGAACCCTCAGAGAAGGAGTCATAGCTGGGGAGGGGGAGCAGATGCCCAAACCATGGTGGCTTTCAGCTCACAAAAGTCAAATCACACTCCTAAGACATTATCTTGCTTAAGGAGTGCAAAGGTAGTATTTTTATTGCAATTCACTGGGATTGTAATAAACCACACAAACCAGATGGTGTAAAAAAAGTTATTTTCTTGACAAGAAAACCAGAAGAAAGACCTAGTACAGAGGTTAGATTTCACCAGCAAGACGACATGATTATTCCCACCACTAACGCAGCAGCCACATTATCTGGATGGTTTATGTATAATCTGGACAGATCCTAGAAATGGCAGCAATTTTTATAGACCCATTATAACAATGAGATCTTTCCCAGGTCAGTAAGACCCATCCAGCACAGCACTTTCCAGGCAACAGCAGCCAAAACTGGATGCTTAGGAAAAACATAAACTGACAGAGAAGTGAACTGTAACTGTTCTGTACCGTAATTAACACTGTAAATTAACAGTATCACTCAAAGAAGCCATCCCATCCTCTCCCTGTACTGGCATCAGGGTGTGCCTATGACAGTGAGCTGGCTCAGGAAGGTGACTGGCCAAAGGAAGAAGCTTCTCCCCACCTGCTGAGCTGGCAGGAAGGAGGACCCAGGAGCACCAGTGCGCAACCAGGGCTGGGCTAAATTCCTGATGGAAGCACAGCAGTGAGATACTGAGTGATCCTTCTCTGGAAGGACTTTACCTCCAGCACCAGTTCAGGGGCTTCCTCAGCAGTGGCACCACAGCCAGTCACCGTGATGGACCAGTGCAGTTACAACTTTATGCTGTGTAACAGTGCTAACCACAATGGTAATTTGTGATTTTGAAAAGGCAGCCCATAATAAAAATAAACATTAAGCATTGTTTTGGTATACTATTATTTCAATGACCTTTCAGTTCTGTTTCAAAACTTCCAAGTTTATCACCAACTGGCAATTATATGCTTTTCATTAACCCTGCAGTTTACTAACCCGAAGAGCCACGGAGAAGATTTCTGGACATCCATCTAGGCATTCTCTCAGCTTATATAACACCAAGCAACTCTGGTGGGTGAAACTGATGTACCAATGAATATAACCATGCTCTTGAATGTGCAATTTCTCCATGAGAAAACCATCTATCAGGACTTAACTTCAAAGGCATTTGCTCTGTTTTCTGCACCAGCTAATGTTGTACATAATAATGCTCCCATGAAAATATATATTGCTCATCAAAACCTGTGTTCCTGTAGAGATACTCATTCATGCACATGATGATGCAATATAGAAACTTTGTTCTGGCAAGATTTTAGCTTTAAGGACTGCACAAAACTAGCATCAGTATTACCTTCTGTGCATGTGGGAACATTTTCAGTCTCCCCCAGTCAGCAGTCTACAACAACACATACATTAAGCTCCTCTGGAAAGAAAAAAAGATTTGGAGGGTTTTTTCCATCTTTAAGGTTTTGCAAATCACTGTGTCTCGTGCATTCCCCATTCTGTCTTGCACTTCTAAAAGTTCAGGGCTGTCTCTCTCAATTGATCCAGGCCAACTCCAACTCCAGCAGTCCAAGATTGAACAGCAATGCCTGGTTTTTACCTCCATCTGGCTCAGCTCACCAGCTTGTGTCAAATCTAAGCCTGGGGACCTGGGACCTAGATCAAGCCATACTAGGGTTACACAGCACTTCTTCAGCTCATATGGTGCACGTGGCTTGCTGATTTTGAGGCACACCTATTCCTTTCCTCATTAACTCTTAAAAGCTGTTCTTCAAAATCATCAAGCTTCACAAGCTGTTTCCAAAGACTTTGCCAGGGAAAGGGCAAGACCTTGAACCCCTCCTCATGGCCAGGCAGGACTGAATGACACCAAAGAAGTCCTGATGGGTTGATCCAGTATCCTTTGTCAGGGCTGTGTGTGCTCTTCCTCGCACAGCCCTGCACAAGCTGGGGAGAAGACCACAGGTGAACAGCCAAGGCAGGTGGTCCCTGCCTTCACAGAGCAGTGTGGAGATCTCAGCACAGTCTTCAGGGGGGATACACCTTGGCTTTTACCTTCTAATGTAGAACCAGTACAAATTGATGCAAATAAATGAGATTATGCTGTGTCTTTTAAAGAAGCTTACATCTCTCATGAACGCTTGGGTGTTTTTTTACACTACGAAAGCTGAACTTCTCTATACAGCTGTCAAGTCAATTAAAAAATTTCCTTACAAAAAGTCATGATTACTAATTTACTTACTATTTATATTGCTCTGTGAAAGCCTACAGCCTTAATGGTCTGGCTGGAGACAACAAAAAATACCTACATGAATATACATCTTTGTCATTAGGAACTAGTTATATCCAAGTGTCACTCTGACTAACCTACCTGTAATTATTAAAGTACCTTCTTGGACCTCAGCTGTCCTGGGATAGAAGATTTCTTGCCTTCCTACTTTTTATTTAGGGGATTTCCTGTTTCATGGCTCCCAGATACGCACCTTAAATGCACAGGACCCAAACCAGACTGCTATTAGAGGGACAAGTTTCCCTGTACGGAACCCACACTAAAGTTCTGAGCAGGGTATTCTAGGGAGACTTAAAGCAGAAAAAAATTAATTTCATGTATGAATCGCTGAGAAACACTTTACCATAATTGTAATCTTAATTCTATCATATAATGAAACTTTCTTTCTTGGAATTACGTTTCTGCTTTCACTTATCTTCCTCTGAGCACCCCCTCAAAAGCACACAGAAAAGAGACCCAGCAGTAGAAAATGGAAAATAAAGTGGTAGTGGCCAAATGGCCAATCCAGCACACACAGAGGTCAACCACTGCCATTCCCACCGACATCAAAACCAGAGATAAGACCCCTGATGTGCAACACCGGTGCAGAACCCAGAACAGCACCGTGTACAGTGCATGGCTACCGTGGCTTTCCAGTTAGTGGCATCTCTGCCTCACGCAGGACACAAGGGCCATGTAAATGAGGAAGCCATTTCCCTGCCCTCCAGCACAGAGTGCAGCCCTCAGACACCACGTGAAGGACTGGGCATGGAGGAGGACATGCACAGCCATTCCTTTCCTCCTCCTCCTCCTCGACAGGCTCCTGTGAGATAACCCAGTGTGCCTTGCCAGAGCAGCATCACGGCAGTGCTGAGTCAAAGGCGCTGGTCCTGGAAAGGAGACACCTCCAAAATCAACATCCAGTGCTCCCCAGCTGGCAGGGCAGGGCTGCACCCGAGGGGGAAGACAGGCTCTGCTGCAGGGACCAGCTGCTACAGGGACACACCATGGCTGTGAATCTTCCATTAAACCGTGCAAGACGCTTCACAGATCTTAATGTAATTTTAGTAAAACACAGTGAAAAACACTATGATCGGTATTATCTGCTCATACACCCACGGTGCTGGAGGAGGGGGTTGTTAAAAAGAAGAAATAGAAATTGCAGGAGTCCTTCACACCAACACATCAGGCAGCTAGAACTGTACACACCTCATCTGCTTTTGTGAACACCCATTTGCACATATAAAGATCTTGCACTAATTTGCAGGTTCTCACCAGGAATAATAAAAATCTGGCTTCAAGTATAGTTTAACTGCAGGAGGCACAGCAAGCAGCAGCAGTTAGAAACATTAGTTGTATAATCACAAGACATACTGTGCAGTTTACCTATTTTGACCTTGAGATGGCAGAGAGAGAAAAGGTAGCAAGGCAAGTACTATATGGTCCAGCTACTACAAAGATATAACACAGAACTGAAAGTGAGAACAGCGATTGAACAATTAATAGAATCTCCTTCTGGCCCTGCATCTGCTGCAAATGCTGCTGTGCCTCATTTACTGTGCTGCTTAAACATGTTAAGGCACAGCAGAAGGAAGAAGAAAATAACTAAAGGAAAAAGAAAAGAAATATGCAGATGAGAGTAAATTTGTAATGATGAAGCAGGAGGGGAGGAAGAAATGGAACAGAATGAGAAAGAATCATAGTTGAGGCCAATTTTTTTTTTTTTTTTTTTCTTTTAAAGAACTGTGACCGAAGGGCAGAATTTTACATGAAGTTATTTTCCTGAAGACTGTCAGCAGAAGTTCTGCCACTCGATGTCACTGCCTTAGCCAGTGCACTGCATTTTACAGCCCAGGCCTGTGTTTGTGAGCTTGAGCCTTCTCCAGTTCCTCTCATCCCTAGGATGACCACGTGGCTATTAGGCAGAGCTATAGTTTACTCATATTACAATTAAACTACAGGAAAGCATGTAAGCATGCAAGGGAAGTGATGGTCTAGCTGCTACGTAACTGCAGCCACAGAACAACACACAAAAAAACCCCACGAGTTCAATCTCGTTGTGCCATCAACCACTTTTCACGGATTTAGAAGCATGCAAATAGGTTTCAATCATATCCACACACACCCCGCTCACTTTCTCTGGATGCGTGAAACCCAAAAGAGCACAAGCTACACAAAAAAAGAACAAAAAACCCACCCGAAAGGGCGTTTCTGCTGCTGCCTGAGTGGCGAGTGAAAGCAGCGGCCCCGCAGTGAGGGTGCCCCAGCGGCGAAGCGAAAGGCAGAGCCCAGACGGGCCCCGCTGCTCCCTGCGCTCCCCCGCCCGCAGCGGCGCTCCCGGAGCCTGCCCACAGCCCAGGGGCCCGGCTGCAAACACACTCCGACACGGTACAGCACACGCCGAGCACTCCCGAGCGGGGCAAACGAGAGCTCTGCACCACGCAGGGCTGCGGCGTTAAGGTCTGTCCTGGCTAAGTCCGGCTTTTCCCGGCGCTGGGCTGGCCCAGCCTCGCTCACACACCGCTCTCCGGACACCACACGCACCAGCACGGAAAGCAGACGGAGCGGAAAAACGCATCCCGAGGTACTTACATGCAAGATGAAAATTAACTGCACTTTTTAGGCATACTTTAAAAGAAACATAGAATAACCGTGTGTGACACATTGTTCCCGAAAAGCAGTCACCTTAGTCACAAAAATACTTTGTACTTACAGCATTTAACACCTCTAGCAAACAGTTGCTGCAATCAGATTCTTTGTTAGTAACAATTCGGTTAACCAGTTACAGCATTAATCAGTCCAAAGCTAACTATTAGAGATGTTTCAAAAAGAGCATACCGAATAACAGAGGGGGAAAAAAAAAAAAAAAAGCCAAATAATACTATAACTATTAGATTTTAGTTGATAAAAAAAAACCAAAAAACCGACTTAATAAATAATTCAGTGCAGAATCAAAACAATTTCAATAAAATGTTCTTCAATAAACACAGTAATTCAAATGTCAGCCGTACATCTTTTAATTAGCTTTTTTCCAAGACTTACCTATGTTTTTCTAGTTCGTTGTGTGATGACCTATTAAAAAGAGAAAAGAAATATTAGAGAAAGGATAAATAAACAAAGATTTAGAATACTTAAAAGTCAATACCGGCATAAATGGCAAAAGAGTTCTCTAAAATACGTATTTAACATGGATTATGAAACAGCTTTTCTATTAAACTGGTTCACTTTAAGATTCTTCAGGGTATCAACTTAATTTCCATGAGTAAAGTGTAGATTTGGAGGGAATTATAATATATTTGCATTTATTAGTGTTCAATACATTCAGAGACAGAAATGAACATAAAAAAACTGAGCAGGTTAGTAATAAAAACAGCCCACGAGATTTTTATCTGTGAAGAAAAATTATGAGGGGCAGAAAGTGTTCGAAGATGTAAATGGTAACAGCTAAGAGCAGAAAGCACCCAAAAAGCCAGCTTTCAAGCACACGGAGAAGCAGAAAGAAAACTCAGCAGCTAATCACTGCTGTTGCTGTTGTTGACATCTTAATGGCAACAAAAGAGGAATCCTCTTCATTCTTCTCAGTCTACAAACAGAAAATAAAACCCAAAAAAATCATAGTCCCTGTACTGACCACAGCAGTATGTTATCCTCTTCCAATCTACTTGGATTAGAGATTTTTTTCTTCTCCAAGTGATGCCTCGGGTTTTTTGCCATTAGAAAGCAGCCCTAAATTCTTGGAGGTTTTTTTTTTTTAAACTGATTCAGCTAAAAATATTCATTTTATTTATTTACACAGCTCAGATTAAAAACATTCCTAAAACGAAGTTACTGTCGCTGCTTCAGAACCAGCGATTTTCCGTACTTTCAGTTTTGTCCCACTGAAAACATGCCCAGCACGTAAGAATCAAAAGATGGAGAGGCGGTGGCGGCTTTTAGGGCTGGCAGATTATGTCAGAGCAGCTCTGCTGGAGCCTGCTGCAACCTCAGCCTGCAGCTGGGCACAGGGTGCAGAGTAAGGTGCCTTTGTGCAGGGTGAGTGCACAGTCCCTCCAGGAGCAGAGACATCCCAGGGGATTAGGGAGCCTTCGTGCACAAATGCTGCCCGGTGCCGAGCTGTCCTGCCTCTCCCTGCACACACCCGAGCTGCTGGATGCTGTACCTGGGTGTGACTGATGGCAGAACATCACTCCAGCCACAGAGAGGGAAAAAGAAAGCAAAGCTCACACAAGAAACATCCAGTGAACAAACTCACAATGCAGCAACGGATCTCAGGCCAGTGCAGCTCCTGATCCTGCAAGGAACTAAGTGAACTGCCCCTCTGCATGTAACACGGAAACGTGTACTGATGCTAATCCACTCTCACCAGAAAGCACCTCAGTCTTGGTACCAAGACATCCATTATGTCAACCATTACCTGGCATCTTTGTCTCAAAAACCTATGAATTCTTTATGTTTTTGGGGCTTTTTTAACACTTGTTGCATCAAGTGATCAAGTAATGTGTGTAATTCTACAATGCCATTTAAGTGCCCCTGACCAATGCTGCAACACTGCAAGTGTTACATACATTTTCTGTGCTACATTAATACGGCGAGGTGGGCTTGGTCATTTGGCTGTCTTAAGAGGATATTGTTTTTATCTTCTACTCTCTACACAGAGATCAGACTTTCTCCACAATCATTTCTCCACACCAGTGTTCACAAAAATTGACAAAGACTATGCTAAATCCACCAGTATTTATGAAAACACATGGAGAACAGAAGTTCAGGAGAGAACCATTGTCCCTGGACACCCTCAACAAGGTCTGTCTAAGGCACTGTTAGTAGGGAACTTTGGAACCAGAGAGGAAATACAGGCTGGCCTGGATTCATCCCTATGACATGAACTCCTTGACATTTCTGGCAATTAGACACAAAGGTGAACACGATCACTCCAGCTGGCCCATTCTGGGCTGCCAGCTCCCAGCAGCTCTGGCGAGCACACGCTGGGACAGCACAGGAACCATTGGCCAAGAAACTCAGCCTGCACGGGGGATTTTGCTGGGCTGAGAGAGGATGCCGTGAGCAGCTGTCAGTCCCGCATACAGCACACCTACAGGGCTCCTGTGGTACATGAAGGGTGGCCCCGGTGCTCTCCTGAGGTGTGTCCAGCCAGAGCAGCTCTGGAGCGGCACAGCCCTGGGCGTGCCAGCTGCCAAACCGAGCGGCAGTGACCCTGTGCCGCTTGGCAGAGCTCTTGGGGACACAAAAGCCTCAGCGACGCCTGCAGTGTGCAAACGTGGGCACCAGCCACACATTTCGGGAGGTGTCGGGGGCTAATGCCCCAGATACCAGGCCCTAGGCAGGAACCAAAACCAGGAGTCCTGACATTTGCCTGAGAATTGCTCCATCTACAGAGCAAGTTAAATACCCTATTACAAAGTATGACAGGGGTTTCTTTGGTTGCATTTGTTTTCAGGAGATGAACCTCTCTCAGAATATTGGTTTTTATTTCCCTCATTGTCCAGAGCACAGTATATTGCAAGAATATCCATCTCCTGCTGTTTATGCAACCTAAAGTGAGGGAAAATAACGTAAAAACTGGTCTCCACAGAACCCAGTACCCTGTTTCAAAATGGAGTCTTTTATTACCTTAGTGAAGATATGATGTAGGTCACAACTAATAAGCTATATGTATATATATATATATTTATATGAGAGAGACAGATATATGACTGTGGTTTGCAGGCAAATGGTCTGTGGAGCCTTTCAGAAACAGCTTCAAGAGAAGGAAGACTTCTGGTGTTTAACTTAGGTTCACTTCACTGAGTTCACATCTCCACAAGAAGCTTGGGGAAGTTGGGGGTAGCAGTGAGAAAAAAAAAAGGCAAAAAGGTTCAGATCAAAATAAAGGGACAAAGCCAACAACAAAAAAACCTGTAAATCATATGTTCAGAAGGAAGGGATAACGAACACTGGTGCTTTGACTACACTGTTGATCTGAGACAGCTCTAATATCCCTTTAGCAAATGCCAAGTGGTTCACTGATTATAAATCTTATTTGTGAAAAAACTGTCCAAAGAAGATTTGAAAGAACAAGGAGGAACCAAGCAAATGCAGACATTGGTCTGCAAGATGCTGTGCTACTTCTCACAGCACGTCCCTGGAGCCATCCCTATCCACCACCTTCCTTTCCCCACACAAGAATTCTAGGTATTGGATTTCAGCTTTTGGTTGATTCAACATTTAGCAGACACACCTAAGGAATTTGAACAGGTGCTAACTGAGATGAGAAGACTAACACAGAAGAGGCAAAGGCCTCTCCATATCCTCTGCTGTCAGTCTATGGGTGAGCCAGCAGGATCTGCTCACCTACATGCTAGATTGAGATTTCACTGTATGCGTGGTGCACGGCCTGTTTCAGTATTCTGACACCTTCCCTACTCCTCCATCCATCTACCCCACCAAACGGGGCATCTGCTCAGCAGGAAGGCAGCAGCTCCTGACAAAAGCAGGGATGTGTGGCAATGCTGCTGAGGTTTATTGCCCTGTGTTAATGGGAGCCAGTCTAGACCGTGACTCACCAATACACTTCCAGTTGCCAACACACTTTAAAGCACTGTAGGGAGCAAAGCAGGGTAGTTAACCAAGTACTTGAAACAGTGGCAGCACCTCGCCAGTGCCAGGGCTTTCTGGTGCAGGCAGGACTGACAGGGTGTTATACAACCCATGTGCAGGGTACAACTCCACCTCAGGTGGTGCAGCCGTGTGAACTACACTGCCAGCACTTCACCTTTTGTCCAGGCCAAAAGAGTAAGAACAAACAGAACAAGAAGCTTTACAAGGTGCTACACCTTAAGTGTCTGCATCCAGTTCCCACTCCCAGAAGAGCAGGTGTGTAAAAGCACAATGCCTACACCTGCAGTCTTGTGTGAATGAGACTGTGTGGCTTTTCATTGAAAGGATCCAGATTCACTTCCAGGAAATTCCCTGTCTACATACCTAACCTGCCATGGAATGCACCTGAAAATGCTACAGTTCACCCCAAAAAGCACAGAAAACCTGAATATAAGCACACATTCTGCCTATTACTCACTGCATCTGGGTTGTTGGTTTTTTCCATTTGTTTCAAACTGGACACTGCTTACAGCCTGTCAAAGAATAAGCCTGTACAGAATTAATCCACTAAAAATTAATTTTGCATTCTCATCATAGCAAAATTTAACTGGTTCTGCAGATTCAGCTGGGGTCTGGGAACCAGACACACTGGCACAACCTTGATGCAGAGTTCTGGCTCCGGGATTGCATTCAAGTTGGTGCTGCCACATGTTTGCAGTGGCCAGGTCTGAACGTGCTTCTAGCACGGTGGCAATTTGTTTTCCTCAACTGCACAAGCAGTGCAGCTCCCAAACATCACAGACCTACTGCAGTTCCTCAGTGGGGACAGGTCCATTGGTGAAACCTGTTATATTGGGACTAAAATGCATTATTTTGAAACCAAATGTGGCGATATCAATTGCTGTGCTAGCTTTAGGAAGGCAAATTGAGAAAGATCTATCAAATTCAGAAATCCAGGTGAAAATTCAGAGGAGCTGTGTCTGCACAGTCTGCTTTGCAGTGTTTTATTCTTGGCCTCTCACAAAAAAATAAAAAAATTTAAAAAAAATTAAGGAGAAATAAAACAAAAATCAGGCCCCCAATCCCTAAGCTGCTTAGTGTGGGCACAGAAAAACATCTGCTGAGAGCAAGGGGCTCACTCTGCGGGCCACAGGTTCACCCTCACCATGAGCCAACATCAACAGAGGAATTTGGACATTAGGCTCTGTTTTTATTTGAAAATCCAAATGCCGCTTTCATCTTTTTCTGCATATAACCCTTTGCCAGAACACAGCACGAAGTACATGTCTATTTATATAACATATGAGCAAAAATATTAATTAATTAATAGACACAGAAGATATATTTATAAACCGACATTTATTTTGCTCCCTCTCCTTCAATAAACCAGCTCCTAAATTAACAGGCCAAACACACTGCACCACCGGCATTCAATTCCTTTCTCTGAAAGTAAATTTAACTGTGACCTCAGTAGACTGGCATCTAACACTAAGATTTTGGTTTTCATTTTACCTTATTTCTGACCCTTTCATGGCGAAGCAGCTGCCTGAGCTTCCCGGTGCATGGGCAGACACACACCTCAAACCCACACAGAGCTCAAGGTACCTAACACCTGGTGAGTGTCACTCAGCCAGGGCAGAAGAAAGCTCAGTTATCTGCAGGATTGCATGTTCCTCTGTCAGAGTGCTTTGCCTTGTGAGCAAACGTCACCAAATTTCAGATTTGTGTCGCATTCCTCCTTGGCACATTGCACACGTGTCACTTATCTGTTTCTTTGGAGCAAAAACCAAGCTTGACTTTGGAATATTTGCTATTAACATTTCCAAGGTACAACAGCAATAAATCCAGCTGGTTTATGCCTTTTTTTAATTCTAAGTACACCTTAACAACAATTATCAGACTGCATGGCACTGCTTTAAGAACTACATACAGCCACTGCTCTGCGGAGACATTTATTATACTATAGTCAAGTACCTTGTAAGTAGTATTGTAACAAGATGCGACCTAGGTTTACCTTCTTGCAAAAGGTAATATTGTGGCTTTCTCTAATCTCCTGTCCTCTTTGCAAAACAAGAATCCAGTTTCATTTGCCAGAGCATTTTGGTCAAAATTACTGGGGGAAACAAGTCTGAGTCTCAGCTGAGGACATGGTATGAACAGCAAACCAAAAAGAAAACAAAGCAGTTTGGTTTTGTGTGACATGGGAAAGGGCACATCAAGGGAAACTGAGAAGAAAACATGTAAGATCAAGACATTTTAATGTGCAAGTGAAACAGAAATGGCTAAAAACTGTACCCGATTGCTACCAATAACATCAAGAACATTGTTTATCAACACACTGCTAACAACCACTTTCAATTTTGATTCAAAGCTAACAGTGGACAAAGCAAAACTATTCAATTCCTACAGTGGACAGAAAGCTTATAGATTTTGGTTATTTAAATGTAATTCTGCTGGTATTTTTCCCTGCACAAATCGAAACCTGCCAAAATTACTTCTCACTCAATTGCAGTCAAGAGGCCAGCAAGCTTTTAGCCCAGACCTGAGCATCCCGTTCAAAGGGCTGGCAGCCTCCTGCCCCTTCTCCTGCAGGCCTGGGCCTTGCCAGCCATCCACAAGGGACAGAGGTCTCATCCTGCAGTTTCTTACATGAACATCAGCAGCACCTCGGCAGAGGAAGGAGGGGTCCATTGGTGCCCTTGCTGAAGCCCAGGGCAGCTGGAATCCATCCCTGCCTGTCGCCCAGCCCGCGGCGCCTGGCCAACACACCTGTGCTACACGGGGTATGCTCTTCCCCCCACAGGCAGGCACACGGGGGGGAAAACACAGAACAAAGAAGAGTACAGCACACCAGGCTTCCTCACATCTGACAGTTTTTCTCCGCCTTTCCTCTTTTCTGATTTTCCAAGAATAAGGAGATGTTTTTCATGCTTTTATATATGTATACCTCATAAGGCATGAAAAAAACCAACGTATGTGCATATATACATCTCTCACTTTTTAATGTGATCAGATGCTGCAAGCAGCAGGATACAAAAATAGATAATGAAAACAACAATGCCCCTGCAGATTTGAAATGTGCAGTTAGCTGCTCCTTTCCTACTCCTCCAACCTTAAGTATGTATTTTTAATCCAGAAAAACAATGAAATAATAAGGCACGAATTTCAGACATGTATGCAATCCCCTGTATGCAATCAGATGTGTCCCTGCATCTAATGCTCCAAACCCAGTGAGTCTGGAAAATGGCTAAAGTGGAACAATACGGACAAACATTTTGCTCGGTGGTTCACATCACCCACGACCACTCCAGATCCTCTGAACTTTGGCCAGTCGTCTCCCTCTGTTAATCTTTGAGTTGCTTAGGAAGAATTAACTGTGTTTCCAAAAATTCACTCTAGTCTGGGGCTCAGCCCTTACAGCCTCTAAGCTCCAAATAATAATAAAACACTGATGCTGGTGTACATCATGTATTTTGCACTGCATATTTAAATACGGGGGTAATTTCTCCCCTGCAAATCTAAGCATGCAGGCAAACCTGAGCAGCGATTGCTGGACACAGGTACAAGGCCCATAAGGACAATGCAGAGATACCCACAGGGTCCTCCTGCTACCCCTCAGTCCTTGAAGGAGCAGGGAGCTGCATTAAAGCAATGTGCCTCTGCTTCCCGCACGGCCAGCAAGCCTGGTAGCCGTGCTGAACCAAACCAGCCACTGTCCCGGCAGTGTCCACGCTGGAAACCATTCCCTGACAAACACTGTTCTGTCCTGTAACACAGATAACCCACCCCTCATCTCATCACTGCAGCTAGAAAAAAAGAAAGTGTTGAGTAAATGTACACGTTGCACATTGCAGGATGGCATTTTTGAAGGCTGCCACTGCTATGGAGTGAGAACCAGAGCAAAACACTAAACGGGTAAATAAATATAAATCTGCAGGCAGAAAAAAAAGCAGGAAGGTAACTGTAAGTGGATGTGTGTGCCTCAACTTTAATAACACTAGCAAATCTGTAAGCAGAAATCTTTTAATTCTGCTGTATTTGATAGATTACAAATCCTCTCCTAAAAACTCCTGAAAGCAGCTTACAATTCAGACAAATAACTATTTTGCAGCGGATGACAAGAGCCCTAAGAACGGAAACGATGGAATAATAGCTCTGTAAGTAACACAGATTTCTTGAATGCAAGAGACAGACAAGAAATCTGTACAATTCAAGGAGCAATTCACAGCTGGAAAACTTATGAAATCTGTTTTGAAGTTTTTTAAAGGCAGTGAGCATATTTTATATGAAAATAATTTAAAATCTTAAAGAGCAAAGTGTCTCAGGACACTCCTCCTGCTCCTGATGACTTTCTCCTTTAAAATGAACTGTCTTCTCACGCCCCATGATGAGACAAAAAATTCAACTAAAACTAAAAACAAAGTAGGAGTACTGCAATTAACAGCCCCCAAAATGGTTGCCTTGCTTGGAGCAGGGGCATGGGGGCACAATTTGCTCCCCCTCGGTAATCTTCGAGGCACACTGCTCGGCCACAGCAGGCACCACCAGGGCGCTCAGCAGCTCGTGTTTCTGCTCAAGGAGGGAGTTCGTCAGCTTTTGATTTCGGTTTGCACCTCCGGTGCCCCACGAGCAGCTCCCGGCCATCCGCCGGGCGCCTCCCCAGCACCATCCGAGCCGGCCGCAGGATGCCCGCCGGAGCAGCGAGAGCGGGCCTGCCGAGACTCACTGCTCCTTTGGAAAACAAGTCACGTGCAAAGCAAGTTCATTTTAGGCTATTCTACAGGAGCCACCATCCAGCATGACCATGCAGAGCAGAGCCTGCGCCGGGGAGAGCATCTCTGCCCCGGGACGCGGCAAGGCCCAGCAGGGCACGCTCCTCGGTGCTCTCCGGAGCAGCCCTGGAGGAGCAGAGCGGAGCAGGCAGAGCCCAGGGCTGGGCTCGCTGCTGGCAGGGGCCGGCAGCGATCCCGTAAGACAGCCAGCCTCCCGCACGTACACAGCCGCTGCCCGAGCAGCAAACAAAGCTGCGGAGCCTGCGCACAGCAGCGCTCGGCTCGTGCCATCGCAGCGCAGGTAGCGGCTGCGGGGCAGCCCCAGAACGGCGGCGGCCGAGAGGCGGATGGGCGATAACCGGGAGCGACAAGAGGCGAGCCGCGCTCCCCGGCGG